TTAACCACGCTTTTTTCTGTCCCAATCTCTCACTTTCCGATCCTGGGCGTACCTTCCCACCCTAGGCGAAGTAAACATCTATAATGTACTCCATGCCCGCAATGCCTTTTTATTGCTCTCTTTGTAGTAGTTAGCGTAGTATCGTAAAAGGTGAACTTTCTGAGAAACGCGACGAGTTCGACTGCCCTTTGGGGCTTACTCGGGCGATTGGCGTGGGCTAGTCAAACACTGGTAGAATTCCACACATCGGCTGTTGATTCCCTAGCCCTGTTAAATGCTCCAGGAATCAAACTTTGGATAATACTAATTTAACCACTTCATGAGATTGACTTTCCGCAAAGGAAACAGGAACCTGATCAACAAAGCTACCGTTACGCATAGTTTAGATAGCTCACGTTTGTCGTGACAATGCATTCAAGTCAAGCTAACATGAGAACTAGGCAGGCTGAGTGAAGAAGAATCCACCGGAACGAGTGAGAGAATCTCCGTTTCTCCAAACTCCTATTAAACGGCGTTCATACTACGCAAATCGCACGACTGCGACCGAGCGCTAAAACAGCTAATTCCACTTCTAGCACTCTCCTCCCACAGTTGTTAAAGAGGGCTAATGCCAATGTCAAACCCAGCCCTCCTGTCACACCCCAGCAAGCAAGGCTGCATAGGTCGCGTATGGGAATTTCAACAACCAGTCCCCCCCCCCTCCTCTCGCAGCGAAACTTGACCTCCTCAGTCACTTTCAGGATTTCTCAAGTTACGGCATGCATTGTGTTTCTGAACGCTGAGAAACCAGTGCAGCGGTCCAACCATTTGCGGTGGAGCACAACCGCCACGATTCCCAAATCACGCTGCTCACACGCACGGTACTCCGTTTTCCACAGGCGGCGCGCATATGAACTTTATACACAATCGCTTTTATAAAACTCGCATGCAATCCCTATGTCGCCAAATATGGCGTTTATAGCTTTGATCGGTTCCTTCCCCTCTTTTCCTCCCATTTTGCCGTTCTTACTCTTCGGTTACTATTAGCAGAAACACAGCATCCCATACCTAACTTCAAAACCTGCGCGAATCATTTGCGCCATTAGGCCTCCATACCATTCATATGTGAAGTTCTTCAAGCAGAAAACCCTGTCCCATTAGTGGAAAAGTTCACGGGTAAGGACTTCCTGAACTAAATAATTCGGGGCAGAATCAGCCAAGCTCTCAAGGGG